CACAGGGATAATAATAACACCATCTCAGGCAAAGTGTGTTAAGCCCTGGACCCCGACAGCTCAGTGCTGTCTTCATTTCCGTCACTACTGTGTACTTCAGAGGACAGTGAACAGATCTGCGGCTCCAGACTTTGTGTTCAGTTTTTCTCAGAGGTACAAAAGCGAAGCAAACAGCCCCATCTTGCCAGAACCCAAAAACCGAGAACAAATGATTAACAAAACTGATTAATTTAAGGAAACCCATGACTGGATCTTCCAGAGAGCTGGGTGGAGGAGAGCAGAGAGGAAGTCAGGAAATGGGGAACTGTGGGACCATAAGGGAAAGCCTCCATGGGCGGGCAGAGAGATGGAGGCTTGGAGAAGGATGGAGCCTTTCTCAAGGAAGCCCAGCACTAAGGCAGACACAGGACACAAATCCTGGGCAGCCCTGCCACCCACAGTGACCAGGTCATGTGACCAGATTTCCTGGCCTCACTAGGGAAGCCAAAGGTTGTCTTGTACCAGCTCTAGCTGGGCAGAGGCTCCTCCAAGCCAGAAGCTGCCCCCGCATGCAGGCTGATCCTCAAGTGACTTTCCGTACACACATGTGCCCAATGGAGGCCATATGGGGCTTGGGTGGGGGGGCTTGAGCCTGATTACCACAAGATCTCCCTTGTTTCTGTTTTGAGCAGGTGGTCCAGGGTGCTCTAAATAGGAATTCTCAAGAGCATGGACTGACCCTGAAAGCCCTCCCTGGGGAATCCCTGTGTGCTGGAAATACATTTTCCCAAAACAGGGGTAGCTGAAGGAGAGCCTGATCCTTTAAGTGTCTTCTGGGGTGGGGCCACCCCTCTGTCATAGGGGGATCTTCTGAAGGTCCATGTTCCCAGGTCACTTATTGTTGGCACTCTCACTACTCATGCCTCCAATTCATTTGCAAGATTCTCCCCCATATCTGCACCTCATTACCGACCTAGTAACCCTCAGGTGAGCTCAGAGAGCTCAGGAATGTGATATAAAGGAAAGGAAAGAAAGGACAGTCAGGGCTGAAACTAGCTCCAACTGCCTCCCCCGCTCCACAGCTATGTGGGCCTGGGTGAGTCCTGAGAACTAAATGAGGGGTGTCTGGCCCAGGACCTGGAGATGGCAGGTTGTCAGCAGACATTTCTGGAACACGGGCCTGCCACTCTTTGACTCTGCATGTAAGGCAGTTCCTTCAGTTAAGAAACTGCAGTGGTAGGCTGCATCCGGCCCAGTGATTGGGAACACCTGTTCTTGTGGAGAACCCAGGTTTGATTCCTTGCACCTACATAGCAACTGAAAATAAAGTAAATCCAACTCCAGACCCAGGGTGGCAATGGTGTCTTCTGACCTCCACAGGCACCAGACACGTACACAGCGCACAGACACACATGCAGGCAAAACACCCATACACTCTGCTTTTTAAAGGAATTTTGTCTAGCTCTTGCCTCAATGTGTGTCTATGTATGCCACCCGAGGCAAGTGAGGGCCTCTCTGGGCCCTCAGAACTAAAACAGAGCAGTCAGCTGAGTTGTCAGAAGTGGGAACCCTGAAGTTCACCTCTTAGGTATTTGGTGTCAGTGGCAGACGTGAGCAATCAGTTCGTCCCGGCACTGTTACCTACTGAATCCAACTAGCTCCCAGCCTCAAAACCTCCACACAGCTAACACCACTGAAGAACAGCTGTCATAAGAGAGTTCATTCTTCAACCTGAACGCCATAGCTGGGTGGTTCCAGGTTTCAGTTGGGTGACCTTGTGTCTCATTTTCCTCTTTTGTAAAATGACCAAACATAACAAGAATATGTGGGTTAAATGAGACAATAGGATTTAAATCAGATTCCAATAGGACTGTTTAGTCCTCTCCAGCAGGTGACCACCTGCCTCATTCCCAGATATCAGTGGCCATCTACTACCCAGGCCCTGTAAGCCACTCAAGTGACAGAAAGATATGTGATCCAACGGAGAGAGCAGAGCATGGGCTTGAGTGACCCTGTGGTCACCCTTTCTGAGTTTTATTCCCCTAGGGATAAGATGGGCAAGTGCCTGTGTGAGGCCGTGGAGTCTTTGGTGCTGATTGCCCTTCTGGGGAGGAGCTGGGAGCAGGGTAGGGTAGCAGCAAATCCCATGTCCACTGATGGCCGTGCGTACACCAGCGTTTCTGGTGATGGTCCTGAGCAGACACGTGGGCCCAAAGAAAGTAATGAAGATGGTGAGAGTGCCACCCCTGAGGAAATGTGGGAGCAGAAAATCCCTGTACCCCAGAGCACTACTCCTCCTCCTGTCCTCCCCAATCTGGGACCTGCCAGGAGCTTTGAGCCTGCCTGTGACCTCCAGCCTCTAGCCTGCTGGCTCTTCCCTTGCTTACGGAACCAGGTTGGCCCGACTTGGAGCCCCAGAGGCAGTCTCTACCGCCCTCTTGAAAGCATCAAGCATGGGTAGTTCCTTTTCTCACTCATAGGACAGCTCGGGGCTTCAGGCACCTCACCAGGCTTCCCAGCTTGGAGAGCAGAGCGTTGTGATAGCTGAAGAACGCATTCCCATTCCACTCACCAGGCCCTAGTCAAACACGGCTGAGGTGTATATACCATTCTATGGTGGCCTGCCTCTCTCCTGCCTCTGCTAGCAGCAGCACCTTTGCTGCTCATGACCACACAGCAGGGGAGTTCGAAGCTGTCTCTCTGATGCCATCAACTCTGTATGAGACCTTCCCCTGCCCAAACACCTTCCTATCTTAGTGCATTCCTGCTCCAAGACCCGAGCCAGCCCAAATGCCAGCTCCTTAGGGAAGCCTGTGTTTCTCTCCCTTGCAAGTCAGACAGTCTCAGTGGCTTTCGATGAGAATACTGTGAGGACAAAGAAGGCAGATGGTAGGGCAGAGAGGAGAGCCAGCCATAAGAGTGAGCCTGGGCTCATCAGGCTGACACTCAAGGAAGGTCAGGAGTTACCTAACTTCTCCCAGCAGCCCGTAGACACAGGACTCAGCTTGCTTATTACAAAATAGCTTTATTGATAAAATAGTTCAGAGTCTTAGAAATACCTGTATGTCACAACATGGGGGTGGCTGGATCCCACAGAGCATACACAAGATCAGCCAGCAGATGTTTACAAACAGCCCCTCAGCTACACCCCAAACCAATGTGCTGTCCTCACAACTGCAATCAACCAACTGAGGACCAAGCTTGACAGTCATCCTTTCCAGGTACCCACCATTGGCATCCACCATTGTCTCAACCTGTGAAAAATCCCTGAGCACTTTCCAAATTTGGATAAAACCATCCTGGGCTAATAGCCTGTGTGGCTCAAGCCATGCCTCTCTGAGGCTAAGAGTTCTATTGCCCAAAGATGAAGTCAGGTGGCATCCCTTACAGATGCCCAGTCACTCTGGGAAACAATTCCTAAGTTGGGGAGACAACCAGGAAGTAGAGGAACCCAGTGAATATCCATTTCAACTGTGAGGGTTCTTAACAACCAACAAGGCATCTTTCTGGGCTGGGGTAGAATTAGTTATGCCTTAAAAGGCTCCACATGGGGTGCGCATAAAGATGTCTGGGCCCTGGAGCGGGTGGCTCTCCCAGAGTCCACAGGGCCCTGGCTGCCTGCTCCAGCCCCAGCACCCCACCTGAGGCTCTCATCTCAGACTACTTCCTTGATGTGAGTATTTTTAGCTTAGAGAAATGATTTGCCTGCTCGATGACAAAGGACTTATCCCCTAATGGGGCTGGGGCCAAGCCACTGAAAACTCTGTTGGTGTTATAGGTAACAGATGGAGAAGCTGTCACCGGCATAATAACCAAAACCTTTTCAGGTACAAGAATGCATTCTCAAAGGAACTCTGGAATTTGAAAGAGTGATTCGGTGAACCTCAACCCACTTCCAGTTTGGGGTAGGAATTCACACACCCCAAGCACAGAACAAAAGTCTACAGGAAGGCTCATGGTGGTAAACACATAGGAAGGGGATTTTTATATCACCAGATAATCACATTTGCTGGCTCTTAGCTCTTTCCCCCACGGAGCTCAAAGCTCTGTGCAGAGCCTTTCATCTCCCTGCTGCAAGTAGGCGGCAGGCAATTGTCGCCATGCTCCTCGAAAGGGTGAATGCCAGTGATCAGGAGCTCCTATTGAGGCCAGGCCAGGCTTCCAGACCTCCCCACTGAGACATCCACGTGCCCACTTGCCTCCCAGAGGGATGCTGAGTGAGAAAATCAATCTAGCCTTAAAGGAGCCACAAATCTAAAAGCAATACTAGCCCATAACTCCCCATCCCAGGAGCCAATGGGAAGCACAGGTGTCAAGGTGGGTGAGTCATTCTCATGCTGTCCTCTTCCTCAGCAGCAGGTCCTCCTGGGAAATGTAGACAACTGGCTCCCTGCTCTTTGAGAGGCATGAGGAATAATCAAGGCTGGGGATGTAACTCAGTTGGTTGAATGCTTGCCTAACATGCCCAAAGCCCTGAATCCATTCCCCAGCATCTCATAAACCAGACGTGGTGGTGAACGCCTGTAATCCTAGCACTGGGGGGTGGTGAGGACAGGAAGATCAGAATTTCAAGATCATCCTGAGGCTGACCTGGGCTACACAAGATCCTGCCCCCCCCCAAAAAAAACACACAAACCCCAAAACCCAAGAAAAATAAAACACCACAAGTGAGTGGCCTGCCAAGGCACAGGGGTCTCCAGGAAAGGGAAGCCTGACCTGTTGGCTTACAGGTGGCTGGGAGGGAGGTACTTAAATCCAGTCTGGCCTTGGCTACATTCTGGAAGATCCAAGCTACCCTTGCTCAGGAAAGTGGAGAAGAGCTACCCCACAGTATAGTCAGCAAGGGATGATTTCAGATGGGCCCCTGGAAACAGCTCTTTTGTCCTTTTCCCATTTAGGGAGGTCTGAGGATGAGGTCTGCAAGTGGGCCCCGGGGAAATGGTCACACAGACTATGGGGGTGGGGGACAACCGTCAGGTGGTCCTGGCACCAACCCGGGCACAGGCAGCGAGCAGGCAGGCTCACCAGGCAGTCTGTGTCCACTGCCGGCAAAGGATCCTTCGAAAGGCACGTCGGAAGTCCTGGTTGAAGATGGTGTAGATAACGGGATTCAGAGAGCTGTTGCAATAGCCAATCCAAAAGAAGAACTGGAAGAGGCCGTGTGGTACCTTGCAGCGCTGTGGGCAGATGGCCCCCAGGCTATAGCTGAAGAAGAAGGGAAACCAGCAGATCACAAAAACGCCAATGACCACTGCCAGCACAAAGGTGAACCTTTTCTCCCGGCTCAGCTGTGTCCGACGACGCCACCACTGCCCACTGGCTGCACCCACAGTCCGGCCCAGAAGCACCTGGCCACGAAGAGTGGCCAACACCCGGGAAGCCTGAGGCTGCTGCAAGGGTGGGCTGCATACCGAGGCAGGAGATGCTGGCAGGGTTTGGGGTTCACACTCTTCCACCTCCTCTTCATCCTCCTCTTCAGCTCCCTCCTCTGCAGTCGCCCCACCAAAGCCCTTCTTCTGGCACTGTCCTGATCTTGGAAGGGCAGACCAGTTGGGTGGCAAAGCCCTGGACTCACGATCTTCAGGGGTCTCCCCCTCCTCCTTCTCCCTTGGAGGCTTGGGGTGTCCATTGGCCTCTCCCACCGAAGACAGAGGAGAGGCCAGGGTTGGCACCTTAGCTAAGGTTGGAGCTCCCCCAGCGACAGGACGAGGCTGCTTGGACTCACCCTCTCCAGAGCCCCTTTTGGCCCTGGGACCTCGGCAGTGGCTGCGTTTGGCAATTACATAGATTCGCAAGTAGACGAGGATCATGATGAGGCAGGGAGCAAAGAAAGAGCCGATGCTGGAAGCCAAGATGTACCAGGCCTCTTGGTTGAGCTCACACTGGGGGAGCCCGTGGGGCTCCGGACGCTGATCACTCTTGTAGATGAGGGGCGGCAGAGAAATGACGGCTGCAATGAGCCACACAGTGAGGATGATACATTTGATGCGGCGCGGGGTGCGCTTGGAGTTGTACTCCAATGCTCGGCTCACTGCCCAGTATCGGTCCAGGCTGATAGCACACAGGTGCACGATGGAGGAGGTACAGAAGAGCACATCTAGCGCCAGGTAGACCTCGCACCATGTGCGCCAGAAGTACCAATAACCCAGTAGCTCGTTGGCCAAAGAGAAAGGGATGATAAGGGTGGCCACTAGGATATCCGCGGCCGCCAATGACACCAGAAACAGGTTTTGTGGTGCACGGAGTGAGCGGCTGGTCAACACAGCCAGAATAACCAGTGCGTTGCCGAAAATGGTGAAAAGGATAAGGAAGGTGATGGCCGACGCGATGGCGGCGGTGGCTTGCACGGAGTAGGGCTCTTGGTGGTCCATGGCGGGGCCGGACACGTCCAGAGAGGTCCCTGCTGGCCAAACCCACGTTCCGCGGGAGACAGCGCCACTCTGGCTCCGCTACAGGAGGGGGTCGTCCCCCCGGCGGTGCGGATGGCTCTGGAGTCCCATAGCCTGACCAAAAGCGGCCTAGGAGGTCCGGGGACAACCGGGAC